CATGATTCAACAGTGCTAAACTCTGTATATATGCGCCACAAGCTAATATCTGCTAACCAGTTCAATAAATAACAGTGATTACAGCAACTTTATAAGATTATTTTAATTTTAAACTGTTACTTTATGTTCTGCTCAGATCACATTGAGCTAAATAAGATCAAATCTGCTGACTTGTGTTGTAAAATGAGAYGTTTTCCTGTTTATCTTCTGTTAATAAATCCATAACACAAACAGCTTTTCTGACATTATTTAAAACTTTCGATTATATAAACTGTATAATATTAATAACAATTGGGTTAATATTATAATTAATAGTTTTTATGATTTCTACGTCGTCAGTCCTTTTTTTCCTGCTCTGTCACCAACATGTACAGTAATGGGAAATCCAGACTCTTGACCGTTTTGCGTTAGCCGTTAGCTTCACCAGCCGATCACATGGTCACGTGGTTTCTGCGCACTCCAGCGGTTGTATGTAAACTCCTTGGTACTGCCAAACTGATGACAGTGTGAAAGTTTATAAAGAAGCTTTAGCGTACACCACTATGAACATTTAGAGATTGAAAATGTTTTTAGAAGGCATCACTCCAGTTTAGCTTTGACCATCTTTTGACTCGTCAGTCTGGACAGAACAAAATTTTGTTAATCCAAAACTGAGATGTTCAAGAAGCTACTTAACACAGACGATAATCTGTCATAACACTCCCACAGAAACCCACTTCTAAACATATGATCTGATTTTTTTTAAACTGCAGCCAAATGGTGTGCACAAAGTTGTGACAGGTGCTCCGTTTTACGAGTACAAGAATCCTAGTTGAGTTAAAATACTTACCAATGCAGGTTCGAGCTGGGACAGAGGACTGACTGATCCAGAAAGAAACCCAGGAGAGAACCACCAGTAAAATGGAAGGAACATACGTCTCCAAGATAAAGAACAAGACRTTCCGGCGCAGGGAAAAATGCAGCACCAGCTTGGGGTAATGTCCTGTGAAGCGACATAAAAATGACACCGCTTTCTATACAGATAAAAACGATGTATTACAGAGCTACAAGGGTTTTTCTTTCTTTTTCATCAGCTCACACCACACGTTACCTGTTTCATACACAGCCTCTGACACYGATGTATAGTAGCTCTCCACACTGTACTGAGCCAGCCGCAGTGTGTCTAACCCCTTCACTGAGTCATTGCCTCTGGTCCAGTAGAACACCACGTCCTGGATGTTATAACCCCCTGACAAACATAAAGTGCATTTATTAGGATTTATAAACTCCTAGCAGCTCAGCAACACACCTGTCCACTTTGATGGTCACAACAATAATGATGATGATGATCATAATGGTGACATAAAGAATGAGAGGTTTTTGCCCATTTACACACATGATGGAGCTGACAGGGAGTACTCACAGCTCTCCAGCTGCAGGGTGCACACCTGTTTGTCCATGGGGTATTTGGTCAGGTCCATGATGCATGCGATTGTAGCAGTGATGCTGTTGGGTTTTCAAAATAAAAGCATGAGAAAAAGATTAAAAACTTGGATGTAGCACAAAGCAGCTTACTATAAATGAAGATATAACATTCTRTTTTGTGAAGAAACAATTAATGAAACAGTTTGTTGGAATTCAAGATCGCACGAGAACATTGTAAACAGTGAAAAAACGAGGSCAGTTCCCTGACTCATTCATGACTGAGCTGCCACCGTTAATGTCATGAATCAACATGTCTGTTTTATTCGAGCAGAATGAAAATAGGCCTGGCCACGCAGCAAAAAAAAACTGCCCTTTCTGTATTCAATTAGGCTTTTGAGTCAAAATAAAGTTGTGGGGCAGGGTGACAAGACAGACTAGATGTCAAGACACATTTCCACTGAAGCTGCAAAGTGACAAATCAAAAAGGTTTAAGGGGAACAGGACATGCCGAAGTCTAGTACCGTTCCCTGAAGTCATATGACTGAGTGATGATGCATTGGTAATATTTCCTCCCGTTCGTCTTTTTTTTCTTCCTTTTTTCCTCTGTTTTCTTTCTTTCTTTTTGTTAAAACAACCTGAGGCCTTTTTATGGTCGATTGCAACAAAATTCTCAAGAAAAACACAAAAAGTACCGAAGGGCGTAGAGAACCGTCCCATTGCTGAAGATGCGAATGAGGCGGTTTTCCACTGTGACGTCATGAAGGAACGAACGCTTGGAGTCTGGGATGAAGGTGTCGGGGATCCACAGCAGGGAGACCAGGCGTCCGTCCACGCTCACGCTCTCATTTCCAGGAAACACCAACCTGGAGTCACGCCAGCGCTGGCGGAGGAAGATAGTGGCGGTGTAGTCCTGAATAAATCACATTAGTTCACTTTTTTAAAAACTATTTATTTATTCACTGACTATATATGTATTATTAAAAGTATGCATGATTTACCATATTAATTTCAGAGATGGCATCAATGCTGGCGATATCAAGACTCATTCCGATTTCCACAGGACCCTCTGTGTTAACCAGAAATACAAAACGTGATCCTCTTTGCCAAGGACAATGAAACTAAAGCCTGTTTTTCACTTGGCTGCAAATGTTGGAGAGTATCTGAAGTGTACGTATTGTAGGTTTGCGTTTGTGAGAAACTGTGAAGAAAATACGCTCATTTTCAGTTAGTCTCACTGAGTTTGGACTTACAACATGCTTGTGGATTTTGCGTGAACACTGCACAAAAATCTCACAAATTCCCAGCTTCATTGGGATCAAAAGGGATCAATAGAGGTTGTAGACACTCGTAGTAACTCAGCAAGTCCATTCATCTAACCGTTCATCCATTTTCTTCTGCTTGTTCCAGAGTTGGGTGGCAAGGGCAGCACCTTGAGCAGGGAGGCCCAGACATCCCTCTTTCTAGTGCCTCCTCTAGCACTTCTGGGAGGATTCCAATGTGTTCCTAGCCTGGTAAAAACCAGACCCTTGTCCTTCACTAGAATTGAGCGGAACTGCGTAGGAAGGCAAGGGTCAGGCCAATGTGTTCCCTGGCCAGCAGAGAAACATGGTTCCTCTACCCTGGGGTCTCCTCCCAGTCTCACATGCTTAAAGCACCCACAGATGCTCAGCACTGAATCTTGCACAAGAAATCTGAGAACCACTGCAGATGTTTTTTTGGACATTTTTGTAAACTTGCGTGCCTTATACGATTTAGTGCAGCATAATGAGATCCTGGTTTAAAACTTTACTCAATGCCACTGTTGGCGACCAGTTGGAGACAAAAAATTGTAAGAAAATATAGTTTTGTTGTTAATAATACACTGAACTGGTACTTACAACATGTTTAATTTGTTAAATGAATAATTTATTCTTTTTTTTTTTTTGCTTTCAATCATTCACAATGTGATTTCAGATTTCCCAAAGTTGTCCCATACTTCTTGTGCTTCCTGACTTATTGAATTGAGAAGGGTTTGAGTTGGGTTCCAGATGCAAACACTCTGTGATTACTTCAAAAGTTGTTGGACCAATTTTTTGAACATGTCCTGTGACTCAACCAGCAAATGATCCCTTGGGAAGTTCTGCCTCAGGCGGAGGAGTTCAAGTATCTGGGAAGTTTTGTTCATAAAGAATGGTGAGGGAGCAGGTGATGGATCAACAGATCAGTTCCTCACMTGCAGCATTGAGGGTGTTGATCCTGTCTGTTATGGTGGAGAAATGGCTGAGATCATGATTTACTGGCCACAGTCCATTTTTCAACCCTCACCTGTGGTCATGAGGTATGGACCTGACTAAATGAACAAGATGAGACCCAGAATTTGCCTCTCTGGCTTGGAAACACTTTAGGATACCCCATTGGGAGCTGGAGAAAAGGATGTCTGGGTCTGTCTCCATTACCTGACCACAGATAAAGGCAGAAGAAATATGGGTGATGGATGTCTGGTGACTAACACTGTACAAGGCAACTGAAATCCTCTCCAGTGTTTCGAGACATTTTGGAGACTTCCTCGCAAATACCAACAGTTGCAGCCTTGTGAGATAAAAGCTTAAAGACTTCTCAAAATATGGAGTACCGTTGAAATTTGGCCTAAGGTARCGGTTGTATCCTTTCATGAGTCTCTGAATGGTGGGCAGAAGCTGGGAGTCATTCCATTCACCCCAGTGGTTGCCGGGGAACATGCAGCCACTGATAAAAGTAGAAAAAAAGTTCAAATAAATGAGACGGAAAAAGATAAATAGATCATAAACCTTGGTACATAATACTACTTTAAAAAATACATCTTGTGTTGTGTCAGGTGCCTCACCCTTGTGTGACGGTCAGGCAGAAAATGAGAAGCTCCTGCAGCTGGACACTCATTGTGTGGCTGGGCAGGCAGAGGTCAGCAGCTCTGCTTGGATAAAAGCAAGAAAAGTCAGTGTCACTAAAACAAACATAGTCCTTTGTCTTCCACGTTCACGTTAAGGGATAGCACCGCTTCACCAAAGGGTGGCAGCATCTCTCTGAGTGCGACCACCAGCCCTCAGGGGAAATCTGCAGAAACCAGAGTTGGTCCTGTTCTCAGAGCTGAAAAACACGAGGGCTTCCTCTCTGCCATCAACACTTTCTCTGGAATCTTGCATCGATCTCTTCCTCCTGGGCTGCCATTAAAACATAAGCAGGTGCTCCATTCCACTTTCACACAACTCATTTATACACAAACACAGTTCCAGATAAGGGCAGGAGCCCAGCTGCAAAAGTCCAYTGTTTTGTGTGCTTCTCTTGCATGACAGACGGTTATGGGGGTCTGCTGATTTATGTGGCCACCACCCTCATGGTTTATTCACACGGGCTCCCTGGAAAACCAATCATGCCACTAACTCACCAACGAGTCTTTGTTCATCCTCACCACCTCTCCTGCAGATTAATCTCTTTCCCTACTAATAAAATTCAGCACGCTCGTGTCTTATTTAAAAATTATGCAAATCTGTCGCACGGGTTTTCCAAAGCAAACATTAGGTTGACAAGGTGCTACCAGAAAAGCAGCTAAATGATTTTGCACACAATTGTCTTCTGGTGCTAATGGGCAAAAYTGCAGGTTACAGAGGGATAATATTTTATTAGGACCTTTTATCTTTATTTCACGTCTGTCAAGTTAGTTTTAACTTCTTCTCTTGTTTGATGCGCTGAAGTGTTTTATTTTTTATCTCTTTGCACTCACCTCTTACCCTGAAGACATGTTGAAGTAGAGGTACATACTTATCAGTACCAATCTTTTGCTCCCTGCCCATGCTGACAGATTCAACTGCTTGCTCAGCTAAATTAACATCCATCTATGCGTTTCATCTTCTTGCCCTGAAATGTCCTCATGCAGTCATCCTTTCTTATCTCAAAAGTTTTTTGCGTACCTGCTTTGGTGTTGCCTCTCTCGTCCTTTTAGTTTTCTTTTCTGCCCCCACTCCTCTTTTTGCAGCCCTCTTCTTTTTTTTTTGGTTCTTCACTCTTCAGTTTTTCTTTAAATCCCACATGTTAAAATTGTCCTAGATTGGTCCCCGTTCAGTTTTGTTTTTCCCCCCTGGCTGTATCTGAGTGTCACTCCAATAAACTACAGACACGTCCAACATGCAGTCCTGGTGTGCATGTGTCTGTGTGTGATCTGCGGCTGGTTGTTTTACTGTTTCTGCGACTCCCACTGCCTCTCTGCACATCCATCTCCCCTCGGAGCCTATGTGCAGCCCCCCACAYCCCCCTCCTTTCTCAATTCCTTTTTCAGCTAACATCGCTCAGCATCACTTTTCAGCTGCATCCACTGCCTCCTACCTGCACACGTCTAACATTTGGTAAACACTTTTTAGTTGTATGAAGATATTCTCTAAAAATTCTGAAAAAAAGAAAAAGAAAAAAATCCCCTTACCATGAGCCTTACCTGACATTTTTCTCAAGTCCCAAAAAGCCACCGAAAGCGATGTGAAGATGTGCGAAAATGTCCCCAAAACCTCAACTGTTACTTTTCACTACGCAACTACACTCACGCACACACATTCACACAAAATCTGGTTTAATCCCACGCCTTAAATAACTTCCCTTTCTTATCCTTCTTATCCCTGTGGCATCTAATCTCCATCCACCTCCTTTTCCCTCAGATTTATCCTGACACCGCCTCTCCTCGTGGGCTCCTGAGCTCTCTGCTGTCTGATTCCTTCATGCCCTCACCATCCTCACCTCAGAYGGATGTTCCCTCGCATCAGCATCAGCATCTGAATGAGAAGTCTTCTTGTAAAAAAAAAAAAAAAGATGAAAAAAAGAGAGTTCCCATGTGGCTCAGATGGAACTAACATATCTGGCAACTTTTTTTTCCTCCCTCTTCTTTCATAAAAATGTCTGTTCTTTTGCTTGCTGATTGCTCAGTTGTGTTATTCTTTGTGAAGTTGCTGATGGGGATTTAGAGATGTGGCTGGTGTTTCTAATGCTGATGATGGTGACTTATCCACACACACACAGAGCCGTCATCTGTCTCCACTACTGCTGATGTTATGTCATTAATCTTTATGAGTTCCTTGCTCTCCCGTGGCTCCAGTCTGAGTTGAAACAATGATTACACAGCCCGACCTTCAGAGAGCCAGGAGCTGGCGCTCCAGCTTGTAGGAGATGCTAGGACYCACTGCACATTGTTGCTTTCTATGCCTTCATATCAGCCTAATGATCAAACGTATAGCACAGACGAATGGTTGCTTTCTAACTCTGCATTCGTCTGTGCYATACGTTTGATCATTAGGCTGGTGTGTTGCACCTGCAGTTTGATTTGTCAAACCTTAACCCTTTATAGTTACTGTGTAAATTGCCTTTCTAACCCTAATGCTAGCCAATCTGTTTTTTAGTGAAAGTTTTGCTATTTTAATCTTTTGACTACAGCTTTAGTTACTTTAGTTTTTAGCAACAGTTTTAATTTTAGCAGTTAGCTAGAGTTTGACAAATTTGATGTTTCAGCTAGTTTTTGCTAGTTTTAGCTTTTAATTTTATTTTTTATGTACAGCTGTATTGCATTTAGGTTTTAGCGTCTGTTTTGCAAATTTTTTTTGCTTTTAGCTGCAATTTAGCTCATTTTCCTACACCTAATTCCCCTCTGCGATCAATAAAGTATTTTTGAACTGAATCGAATTTCAACTTTTAGCTACATTTTTGTCCTATAATTGGATTGTGCATTAGCATTGTGTTCATTTTAACGTTATGCTTAAAATGTTAGTTGTATGTTTGTTTATATGAAGCAAAACTTAGTTTTTCACAGTTTTGCTAACTAAAGCTTTCAGCTTATTTAGATGTTAGCTGGACAAATAGAAATGTAAGTGAAAGACGATGGACAGATGAATGAATGAATGTTGCAACTTTGCTGATTTTAGCTCCTGTTCTGAATGTTTTTACCCAACTGAGTTTATTTATTCTTCAATAAATTTCAGCAGCTGTTCTCTCAGCATTCACAGACTCAGTTTCTCTACTTTACACCTCCTTCACTTAATGTTGGACATCATTTTCCTTCTACAGATGATGACAGTGAGGAGAATGAACTGATCTGCATTCACCTTGAGGATTGTGTGAATCATAGAGCACAATCAGTTTGACAGATGGAGACACCTGAAGGCAAAGAAATACATATTTTATGTTTGACTTATAAAAGTCTAATGAATAATAATGTCAGAATGACAGACAGTTAGGYGTTAGTCAGCATCAGGCAATTGCTTCTTCCTACCTGTTGACATTCTTATTTATATTCTGCATCTATGTGCTGCTGGTCGTAGTTTCTTGATTATATTTCATTACTTGAAAATTGATTTATACTGCCATTCCCCCATCTGTTTATCTTATTTGTTTATCAACTGAGAAAATTACATATTTTCTCATTTCTTTTTCAATTTGTCTCCGTCTGTTTCTAATCCATCTTTCATCCTTTCAATATTTAGCCAGTTTTATTTTCCTTAACAACTTTTCATCCTAATAAGTTCCATTTTTTTCCTCTGTCTTTCACAGCACAAATTTACAATGTGGGACAAATTTTACTGTGTGTGTGTGTGTGTGTGTGTGTGTGTGTGTGTGTGTG